CAACCGCCCTCGAGCTATTAGTACCGACGAAAGCAACCGCAAGGCCCTTATGGAAGAGCGGAATAGAGCTCTGCTTGAAAAGGCCAATGCAAGCCGCGGCCGTGATAAGAGCCCTGCGCCAGGCCCCCGTGGTCACCGCCGAGACCGAAGCACTGGCGGACCAGAGACCCGATTCCCTATTGCCAGCCCAACATCGGCTGTCGACCGACAACGCGCCAGTCTCGGCGGAGTTATTAAGAGACAGAGTCTTGAAGTTCCCGAGCCAGATGGTGCTGCCCCTGTAAATGGTGATGCTGAGAAGGATAGGTCTGACGCCGACTCAGAGAAGCGAGACAGCCGTGACAGCACAGGGCGTACACCTACCAAGTTTGTTGGTGGCAAGCGAGTTCCTGTGGTGCCATCGACCCCCCCCTCAGAATCCAACCGCGGCGTGCAGCTTGAAGATGCTCCGATGGAGGACTAGTTTTACGACACGGAGCCAAGTTTTAGACAGCGGTTGGAGGCGGAGTTTCGGTTCTGAACCATGACAGATCCAAATAGAGCCACGCCTTCATCTTTGATCTTGAACGGAGTTGGGATTTGGTTAACAGCGGGACTGCAGGAATAGAGGGGAGCGGCTCGGGTTAACTCGGCCGTCTAATCTACCTTGTCATGTGTATGTGTTAATGGAACATGAGCAAAAAAGAACTATCGGTGTACTTTTTTTCTTGTCGTTTTTCTGGATGTGGATCTGCACGTGGAACTGGAACTTGAACTGGAACTGGGTCCGGTCTATTTTTGTATTTATGCCGTATCGACATCATGATACGGCAGCGATTCCCTATTCGTTAAGAGACTTGTTTCAGGACGTTGATCCAGCTCGGGCTTGATGATATTCTTGAGACGTTGTAAATATTGAGCGAAAAGCGGCTTAGCACATGAAAGGCCGGACATGAGAAATGATTCACAAAGACTTTTGATACTTATTATTTATCTGTTTGATCCTCCTTCTGACTGAGTTTGTGTTCTGCTATCGAATGCTCGCTCACTGACTCCTGAGCCACTTGTGCTCGTCTACTCGTCTTGAATCTCAGCAACACGCTTCTTCTTCTTTTTCTTCTTAGCAACAGCCACTTCACCACCAGAAGCAGGAGACTCGACGCCACGAGCACTGCTATCGTCACCGCCTTCTTCCTCTAAAACCGCAGCCCGAGGAGCCTTCTTCTTTTTCTTCTTTGGCTTTACTTCTTCGCCCTCTGCTCCCTCGGCACCAGCGTCCTTCTTGGGCTTCTTTTTCTTCTTCTTGACAACCGTGCCCTCGACATCAACGCCCTGCGCCACCTGAATGCGCTCGTTCGCACGCTGCATCTCGAGGCGGAGTCGCTCAACTTCTTTCATGGCTTGCTGCATCTCAACCTCCTCACGCTGTTGCTGCTCATAGTCGAAACCAGTAGACGGTTGGCCTTCGAGACTGAAGGAGCCAATGCCGCTCGAGTCAACGCCAAGTAAAGTCTGCTTAGCCTTGGGCTTGCGAGTCTTGGACTTTGTGAAGCTGTCAGAGTTATTCTCCGAGTCATAGGATCGAAGCCCGCCACTTGCGCTGCCTTCGAGTGTCTCATCTGCGGCAATAACGACTTTTTGTCGTGGCTTTGGCTGTGGCCTTGGGGGCTGTGCAGCAGGCGTCCCGGCTCTTGATAGCTCTAGTTGCATGATAGGTATGGAGTCGATATCCAAGTCGGGCCCGTTGCTACTCTGGAGGATGTTGTGAATAGGGGTCGAAGTGCGAGGAGTATCATTGCTGGGAATATAAAAGGGGTCATCTCTATTGCGTTCGAGACGCTCGGCTTTCCTTCGAGCAACAATATCAGCATCCAGATACGTATCTTCGTCAGCTTGCTGATAAGAAGTCGAGTATTCCTCTGTAGGTTCAGCTATCCTGCTAATGGCTGGTGCAGAGGAATCAATACTTGTAGGTGGTGGCTTCTGGTGGTAATATGTCTCAAACTCATCCGAGTCGTCTGTTGCCAATGTAATAGAATCGGCTTCTGATAGTAGTTTGGCCAGGTTTGCGTGGATGGGTTCATCCAAGTCCAGGCCCACGGGTACTGGGACGTTCAGCTGAGCACCCTTGGATACCGAGTTGAGTTCCCAGCCGTTGAAAAGCGAGGGAATAGCCTGAGTGAGAAGCAACGGAGGATCTTGTTCAACATCGTCTGTCGACGCCGGTTGAGATGTAGCAGCTTCGGCCGTGAGCTTCAGTAACTCTGTGAACTCAACGGCCCGTTCCTGAACCTCAAGACTAGGGTGCAGTGCAAGAGGCTCAAAGACGTGGATAATGCGCGCCATAAGCAGCGATACCCTCGACTTTCTCTCTGCTGTCCAGGGCTCACTCTCATCACCGACTATAGTGGCGAAAACTTTTGTGACTGCTTGTAGGGTCGTCGTTAAAACCTCTGGGTTGTTTGTCCGGGGAATGAGCTGCAAGAGGCCATTCAAACCCTCATCTGGTACAGCTAATTGCGAAGCGTATTCACCCATGACCCACGCAACTGACTTGAGTGCCCCTGAAGTGATTTTGTATCCTGGTGGTGTATCTGTATTGAGCTGGCTGAGAATGATCTCGGCTGCCCTGACAGCCGTTGATCGCATTACCCGGACCTTGACAGCCACATTGCGGAGCTCGTCACCAATCTTTTCTGACACATTGGCCCTGGCCTTCTCAACTGGACCCAGATCATCATCGACCTTGCGAGAGGCGGGAGCCATACGAACAAGCTGCGTGAGGACATCAATGTACCAGTCAAAGTCCAAGACACTTGAGTAGTTATCCTTGGAGCACATTCCCAAGATCCTTCCAATGACGTCGATTCGATAGTCGTCAGGCAAAGGAGCGGATTCGGCCTTTGGCCTCGGGGTTGGCTCAGCGTATTCATCCTCAGATTCGTTGGGATCATTCGGGGGGGTTCCAGGTAGAGACTTGTCACGAGCTGGCATGGATGACTTGAGCTGCTTCATGAGTCGGCTCACGATAGACACGAGATTGTCGCCAGTCACCATGCCCTGGACCAAATCGAGTGCTTGTATTCGGATAGTGATATCGGGACTGTCGATACATTCCAGAATCACATCCTCCTGCTGAGATACTAAGTAAGGGTGTGTGGTAACGATCTTGTTGAACGCTAGTAGAGCAACGTATTTGACTGAGCTCTGGTCAGTTTACATCCACTTTCAAGCAACAACAGACAAGCACTTACGGTTGGGATCACCATCTATCATGACCATGCCTCGCAATTTGTTGACACATAGCGTTGCGATCTCATCAGTACCAGAGTCATCAGAGTTTCCCAAGATGCCGCCTTGAATGATTCCATTGATGCACTCATAGAGCAATGACATAGCAGGAGTGGTCCTAATGATATTGGTCAGAGGAGGTAGCAGCTTTCTCACGAGTCGAGGTTCCAGCGGTGTTAGAGTGGCGAACTGAACAGAGATTAGTACAACAGCACACGAGGTTAGGTGCTAGTAGCTCACGAGTTTGATGAGTTTGATGGCCATCCAGTTATTACCACCATCAACCAAGAGCTCGAACAGTCGAGGAGCCAAAGGAAGAAAGTCGTTCGGTCTCCGCCAGCCAAGCTCACAGACAACATTGACAATGGCTGCTGTTACACTGGGATCCTCGTCAGGGTCCATGAGCCGCTCCTTGATCTTGGGCCATGCCGCACGAAGAGCCTCGGGGTATACCAAAGCAAGTCGATATAGCGTCACTAATGTCTTCTTTCGAATGTTCGAATGGCTGTGGCTTAATCGCGGTAGCAAGTCCTGCAATGTCGAGAGCGCTAACGAGGGGGTGATGACATGGGGAAGAGTGGCTATCGGGAGAGATATAACCGTCGGAGTCGTCGAACCAAGATCCTGATCATGAGGTTAGCTGAAGGCATCAAGAAGCCCAGTATGTGGCCAACAGACCTTCTTCAGCAGATTAGTAGCCAGCATCAGAACCTCGGTGTCGGGTCTAAAGCTCTGGACAGCTCCTAAATATCCAACTCGCTTCTGGTGGTACTTGGGCGACGACATGACCTCGAGGACGTGGAACGACGCCCACGACATGTCATGTCCGACCATCTCCAGATAAATGAGCTTCAGCAGCGCCGTAGCCTTAAGATCTAAACAGCCAAAGTCAGATCCTCCGTACAGCTAGCCTCTCCCAAACATAGCATCAAACTAACCCATATCCTGGCTGCGAACTTCGGCGCGGCACTCCTTAAGGCTCTTCTGGATATACTCCTTCTCATTGCCCTTGTGGTTCCGTAGTCCCCGGATAAGGTCGTAGAGCGACTTTTCGAACCTGCGCGCACACCATCAATATCACTCCCAGAGGTCGATTCGAAGTTGTCATAGCCTACATGATGAGAAGCTGCCCCGCGGGCGTGGGGCCGATCGTTGGAGGAGATGCTTATTTAGGTGGTAGGACGTGGTCTCAGGGGCTGCGTGAAGGTATGTTCGACCGGCGCATCTCGTATAATATCGTGAGGAGAAGGATGGTTCGTTCAGCCGCGGATGTAGATGTCGCGTGCTGGTGAGAGCAGATGGGATGGATGGTTGGCTGGTTGGTGTTGGGTAAGGTATAGGTGCACTAAACTTAACGAGCACTGTACCTACTGTACGTACAGCAGCATGTGCGGCTTTAGTTTACTGAGTGAGCATGACGGAATCATCCACCGCCCTTGGCTCGGCGACCAGGACGGCCCGAGCTGGGGAATGTCTACAGCGGCCAAATCCCCTAACCTTACGAGTTTAGCGGATTACACTGCACCAAGCCAGCCCGATGTGGGGGCGGGCGGAAAGCCTCCAACTTATTCTCGACTCAGTTTAGCAGAGCCTCAACACCATCATAGATTTTCTGTCACTGCTATTTATCCTCTCTGTGTAGACGTTCATTCTTCGCTTCTAGATCATGAAATTCTCACGAAGGTGACACTAGATCAAAACAAACAAAATAATCCTCTTGATGCCCTCCAATGGCCCTCCGTTTCATCCCTCCCAGAGCCATTGTCGCCCGCTCATCGGCTTCTATATCGAGCATCACCAACCTCACTCGTGGCTCAATACCCCTGCACCGCTCATTCATCACCCTCCCATCCTCCGAACCTCAACGATTAACGGCCAATCGCACTCTACCATACCCCCATGAACCTCTTTACGATCTCATAGCCGACGTGGATTCTTACTCATCGTTCGTCCCTTATTGCTCTCGGTCTCGAGTAACTCGCTGGTCCGACCCCGACCCCGATACCGGGAGACGCTACCCCACACTCGCTGATCTCCATGTCGGATGGGGAGGCTTCGACGAGGTCTTTACAAGTCGATTGCGCTGTGTTCCTGGCCAATCTGTCGAAGCCATCAGTGGGGAGACTGCTCCTGGGGGTACAGGGCCTGACGCATCGGCTGTCTTCCGAAGCCTTGTGACACGCTGGTCCGTGAGACCAATTTCTGGTCCACCTTCACCGCGCACTGAGGTCAATCTATCTATCGACTTTCAGTTTACAAACCCACTCTATGGCGCTGTAAGTGCTGCTGTCTCAGATAAGGTCGCCAGCATGATGATAGAAGCTTTTGAGAAGAAGGCCTTTGAGAAGCTAGGACCTCAACGGAAACTCTAATGTTGACTACATGTATTATTTGGAATTATACCTCCATCCCCCTCATATACCTTGAGGAAACTAGAGATAGTCTAGACTAGATTACTTGCATAGACCCAGGTGGGCATACCACGATTCACTCAAAACATGCACGACACAATAGAAGGGACCATAGAAGGGACATACCCAACTCATTCACGTCGATCAAAAACAAACTTATCTTAAAAGCAAATCATTCTTCTTCCTACTCCATTCATTCTACGTGACGCGTGTCTAGGACGGCCGTGTCTATCAAACGTGCTCGTCCGCCATATCCAAAATCAAAACCAAGACCAAACCAAACGGACAGATAAAAAAGTCAGAGCGTCATCCTTGCGCCAATATCTGGACTTGATCATCTTCTGGCGCAAACAGAGCCAAGACGACGGACGCAAGTCCTCAACATTGGATCGTGTTCCCATTCCCTCCATATCGTCGTTTCAACCATATCATCATACTCCGATCCACATGCATATAGGACAATTCGTGACGCCTCTGCGATATGAATACGCTAACCATGAGTGGGGAAATGATCAAAATTCCGCTGCCTCGTTTTTCCATCTCAAACAATAGTAGAAAATCCCAAAAGAAACTGCCAAGGAGATGATTTCGAAATCAGGCCAGCAACCGATGCCGGCAAGGTATCTGCGAATAGACAAGCAAAACTGTAAAATCAAATCAATCTCAAACGATCATTTCCTCATCAGTATGACATCTCATTTCTTGCTAGGCCTGGACAATCGTTAGCTTGTTGTCTCGGGAGTTAGGGCGGCTCAGGAACTCACTTCTTCTTTTGAGGTTTGCCAAACAAAAAGCCTGCCATTCCTGAGTGATCCTTGGATGCCTTCTTGTGCTTGCTGGACTTGCCAGGATTAGGGCCGACTGTGACAACGTTGGGTGGCATTGGCATATCAGGTCGAACTCCTCCTCCAACAGGCCATCCAGCGGGCGGGCGAACTCCTCCAGGAGGCATACCGCCAGGGGGCATCATAGGAGGTCGCATGCCTGGGCCCATGGGACGGGGTGGAACAGGAATAGGACCGCCGTGCTTGTGTCCATGCATGCCCGGCGCGCCAGGCATCTTGGGTCCCAGTGGAGGCATCTTGTCCATTGGCCACATAGTCATGGTGATAGCCCAATCAGGCTGAACCACCTTCTCCCAAACGGATGGCAGGATGATCTCGCCGTCGGGGCCGATGAGATCGTAGTGCCCTTCCATTACATGAGGACCCAAAACATCAACTTGCATGAAAGCTTGCTTGATGAGATCTTCCATACCCTGCAGGATCGTTAGCCGTTGCTCGTTGCCCCTCATAATCAGAGGTACATACCTGCCAAGTGGCACACAAGTGGAAAGGGAAGCTGAACTTTCGACCAACTGCATCCTTGAATCGGATTGGGGCCTGCTCAGCCTTCTTCTTAGACTCTTCGAGCTTGACCTTTGTCTCCTCTTCAATTTTCTTCTTAAGTTCTTCGGCGGCCTTCTTAGCGGCTTCCTCAGCTGCGGCAGCATCTGCTGCCTTCTTTTTTTCCTCCTCGATCTTCTTGAGGGTCTCAGCCTCAGCCTTCGCCCGAGTTTCTTCCTCAAGCTTCTTGAGCTTCTCGGCTTCCTCAGCCGCTTTCTTTGCGGCGGCTTCCTTAGCCTCTTGCTCAAGTCTCATGAGTCGCTCGGCTTCCTCCTGGGCCTTCTTCGCGGCTGCGGCCTTTGCTTCAGCCTCCTCTTGTAGTGCTTTCTCAAAGCGAACCCGAGCAAGTTCCTCAGCCCGCTTTCGCTCTTCCTCCTCCTTCAGCCTCTTGTCCTCAGCAGCCCTTAATTCAGCCTCAAATTTCATTCGAGCTTCTCTTTCGGCCCTGACCCTCTCCTCAGCCTCTCTCTTACCACGCTCCTCCGCTGCCCTCAATTCAGCCTCAAGTTTCAGACGAGCCTCTTCTTCGGCCTTGGCCTTGGCTTCGGCCTCTGCTTTGCGCTGTTCGGCGGCTGCCTTCATCTCGGCCTCATACTTTTCTCGGGCCTCCCTTTCGGCTTGTGCGCGCGCTGCAGCCTCAGCCTTTCGTTGTTCTTCAGCTGCTTTCGCTGCAGCCTCAAACTTCTTTCTGGCTTCTTCTTCAGCTTGAATGCGAGCCTCTGCCTCTGCCTTTCTTCGGTCTTCAGCGGCCTTCATCTCTGCCTCGAATCTGAGACGAGCCTTCTCCTCGGCTTCTGCCATAGCGCGAGCGTGCTCCTGGGCGCGTTTCTCTTCAGCCTTTCGTTCGGCTTCCATTCTCTCTCGAGCAGCCTTTTCTGCCTCGATCCTGGCCCTTTCGATCTCTTTCTTGGCTTCCTCTTGGGCAATTCTCATGTCCTCCATTCTTCGGGTGAAGGCTTCCTCAGCTTCTCTTCGGATTTGCGCCTCAGCTTCCTTTTGCTTTTCGGCAGCCTTGACCTTCTCCTCCATAGCTTTGAAAGCAGCAATCTCAGCTTCCAATCGAATCTTCTCAGGATCTTCTTTTGGAGGAGCGGGTGTGGCTGGCTTGGCGGGAGCCTCAGTAGGCGGAGGAGGCGGTGGTGTAGTGAGTTGCCCAGGTGGTATTCCAGCCATGTGGGGTGGCCCGTAGAGAGGATGAGGCTGTACGGCGCCATAGTAACCACTTGGAGGTTGTTGGTAAGGCATTAGATCATACATGCCTCTACCTTCTCCTCCATAGCCAGCACCGTAAGGGCTGGCAGGGTCACCGTAGCCAAATGGCACCATCTGGCTGTTTCCAGGATATCCCATATAGGGCCCCATTTGGTTTTGATACCCTGGTTGCTGGCCTCTGCCATACATTTGACCGGGGCCAGGGCGCCCGCCGGGCTGGGGATGCCCATATGCGCCACGGCCATAGGCGCCATACCCACGAGGATCTTCCAGATTGGCGGTGGGTGGCGCTGCACGATCGCGCCGTGGTCGACGATAAGACTGTCTGGGTTCCTCTTCAGGTTGGTAAAGATCCTGGGGAGGACCTTGTTGACGGGGTTGCAATTGATGGGGTGGCGGTTGGCGACCAGGTATTTGCTGGTGATGAGCAAGCTGCTGATGGTGTGGTGGATATTGAGGTTGAGGCGGAAGCTGGTGAGGAGGGAGCTGATGCTGGCGCTGAGAGAGGTGATGACGATAATGTTGATCGTGGTCGCTAGTTGAGGCAGAGTCAGACGGGCCAAGAGCGTCGTCGTCGTCGTATTCGTCGTCGTAAAGGTCCTCTTCAGAGTCGGTGTAGTCCTGGCTGGTCTCCTGCGAAGAATCGTCGCTGTAAGATGCTGTCCCAGAGGCGGACGTCTCAGTAGGACGAGTGCCTGAGGTAGGGGCTCTGGAAGAAGGGCGTTGTTTGAGCCTGGTAAGATGAGAGTGTGAGCTGTATGGTCAAGAGAGTAATGCGCAACAGATGAAGCGCAAGTGTAGGAGAGACAAGTAAACAAAGCTAGAGGGGGGCGCAGTTGAGACAACTAGTAAGGTGGATATGAGAGAGACAAGAAGGGGGAGGGAGGGGAGGAACGCAAGTGCTGAAAGATATGGGTAGGATGGTAATGGAGGGAGGGGACTCACATAGCAAATACTTGGTGGGATGCCCTCTACCCACGACAATCCACAGGAGAAAGCCGGAGTAAAGGCGCTGAACGCAGGTTGGAAAGGAAGAAGATAGGCAACAAGCACAAGGAATGCTCAGCTGACAGGGTGGAAACAATGCCTAGCAACCCCCAAAGTAACAGAGCCAACTACGGGGGAAACGGAGGACGAGGTCGTAGCCGCAGTAGAAGAAAAAAAACACGACGGCAAGTGTTTTGGTACGAGGGTCGTGGCGAGGAAGAATTGGACTTGCGCGACAGGCGTAGAGTGAGGGGTCGTAAAATTAAGTGAGTACGCCACCAAAAGATGACGAGGGCGTGACAGCGGAAGGGAAAGGTCGGCTGGTCACGAAAGCAGTGAGACGGGGGAAATGCCTGCTTGTGAAGCTGGTGCGGAGTCGCAGAACAAGAAATGAACGATGGTGCCTTGTGGTTGCTGACCGAGGAGGGTACCAAAGTTGTATCTAGCAGAGTGCTTGCTTGCTGTACGGCGCACGTTAAGATCAGGCGCAAAAGAGTGTGGGCGGGGTGGATTCAGGCGGCGGTTGCGAGGATGAGGATGGAAAAGCGGCAGAAATCGATCGGCGGTGAGGGGTTCCAGATCGTTTGCTGCTGGGCCACTGGTCGAAATTCCGACCAATACAGTTGAGAGCGGCGTTAACAATGGATGTCTGCAGAGGTCGAATCGATGTTTTGCGCGCAGAGAATCAGGTCTTGTTTAACTAAAAGACGAATTGACAGACAACCGCTCCAGAGTGAATCAACTGAAACGACGAACGACCGTTGTATCGCAACGGTGAAAGCTTGTTGAACCAGAGCTGTGGGTGTGCGTGTAAGTAAAGTATACTTTAAAACTCGGGTGTGTCCGTACGGTCTAAATTTTTGAATAACCAAACTTCGTGGTCACAGGATGCCTGTCCGAGCTTCGTGTGTCGGAGGAAATCAATGATTCCAACTAAGAAGACGACAATCAGTTAGTAAAGTTAGGCACAAGGTGAGAAAATCATCTAGATAAAATCTTGAAGAGTGAGTATCCCGGTTGGTCAGGATCTTTCTCCCTTGCATGAGGACTGAACAACATAGTGGCGCGGGAAAGTTTCCTGCGAACCCAGTCCCTCAACTCGAAACGGTGATCTGAACAAGACAATGGGCTAGATCTTGGCTTGAGCCTAGAAGAATAGCGTCGATTGAGCACCAACACAACACTCGATCACCAAAGTTTCCTGCATCGTGAAGCCATGCCATGTGCTCGCTGCGCTGGGAAGACTTGCTGGGCACCAAAGCATCCATGGTTCTTGTCAGCCGCCCTGAACTGGGGCACCCTGGTTCGTCGCCCTGTCGATGGAGTCGGTGGGGACCCTGTTTAAAGCATCCTTGCTGCTAGCGCTCGTTGGGCTGGAGTTGGCGGGATGTTTAGGCGGTCCATCGATCTGAGTGGCCGTGCTTGAAGCCGTTGGAGTAATACTTGGCTCCCCTAGGCTCACCAAACTCCCGGTTTATCCCAGGCGTCCGCTACCATCTCCAGTCTGTCAAATGGCTCTCCCCTGTGCCCGTCTACGTTTTGGGTCTTCGTAGGCTGGTCACTGGTGGTAGGGCGTCAAAGGTCTGTGAAAGCATTTTGCCCAACCCTATGTGGGGGCCAAAAAGAGCGAGCCTCAAAGCCTAATGGTCCTGTTGGTCATGGAAAGGACCTAGAGCTGTCTGTGGCAGGGAAGGGAGAGTGGCAGTGGCAGTGGTGATGTTACCGCAAGACAAAGCATTGTAGCATCGACGTAGTGAGGGCAGACCGCAACGAGGTACGAGAAAGAGTGCCTGAGTAGGTATGGAGGTACTGCGGGCGGACTATGTGCGGCGCTGTTTCTTTGGTTCGCAGAGCAGAGTGGGCATGGCCATGAATGAACGAGTGAATGTCATGCAGTCATTGACCTGCTTCCCGTTGATGCTAGCTAGAAGCTACCGCCGGGGCATATTTGGTCGCTCAGCTGTTTTGACATGACCAGTGATGATCACATGGACCATCTTTTCTGGAGTTGAGCCCACCCCCAGAGATACATCCGAGACAAGAAAGGTGTTCATGCGGAGAAGAGAGAAGGAGAAAGAAGATGATGGCCAGAGAGGGAATAGTAGACATTATTGGAGTCAATACATACCTTGTGACAGTAGAGTTTGATGTTTGTTTGAAGATCTTGATGAGACAAGTTTGATAGACGAACAACAAGAAGACAAGTCCAAACCAAAAAAAAAAAAAATTCAATCAACAAAAGCGTTGTTGTTTGATGGATTGTTTTTGTGTGAATCGGTAGTGGACGGTAACCAGCTTGTTTAGCGGGGACTTTGAGCCCGGATGGAGATGGAGATGGAGTTGGAGGGGGTGGTGGGGTGAGATTAATGCCCTGTAGCCCGAAGCGTGCAAGTGGGAAGTGTAAGTGCAAGTCAAACAGTGACTTTCTGTTTAGAGCGTGAAGGAATCAAGATTCAGTTTCATTCGGTTAGATAGGGCATGGATGGAGGTATCCATGGAATGAAATGGGAAGACTTCTTTCAGTGAAGGAGATTCCGAGTTGCACGCACAACAAATAAGAAGAGAGAAAAAGGAAAAAAACAAGGAAAATGACAGCGAAACAGAAAGAAAAAGGAGGCCTAGGGCCAGACTCTCTCTCTGACTCTGGCTCTGACTCTTTCTCTTCAGCTGGGCTGAAAAAGGATCCAGGGATGCCATGGCGGTGCTGCAGCCCAACGTTACGCAGCCTCCAGTCAAAGGAAAGATTGGATACACAAATTTTTTAGTTGCTGGGGGGCAGACACAGAATTCCAGTGAATCGCTGCTTGAATCGCTGACCGCCAAAATGATATCGTTGTCTTTTTTAGCGCCGAGGTCAACCGTTTGCTGTCGAACCCAACACTACCAACTTGAATAGTGGACATCCATCATCTGTGTTGTAGACGGGATATAGATATTGCGTTTCAACCTGGAGATATACTGGGTTTCTGATATCATCATGAAACAGGTAATCGAGCACATCTCAAACAGAGAGTTCCTGTCCGACAAAGGCTGTGCAACGTCATTGTCCAATGATATATCATATTCGACCGTTTGCGAAACGTGAAATCGGAACGGACCGAGGCGAAGTGTCGCTATCCGAACTAAAAGTCACTTTATAAGTGAAGGGATCAATTATTCGGTATCAGATGGAATAATAGAAGAGAAAAAAGTAGAAAGAAACCTCAGGCATTGGCAAACTACGAGACCCTTATATCCCCAATTCACTGTCATTTTTGAGTTCTGTTTTCCCCTTCTTCTTTCAGTCAACGAGAACAAAGCAAACCTATCGCCTCGCAATGATCCTCTTCAACCCACGGCCCCCCATTCCGCGACTGGCTAAAAGGCACGATTTGCGCCCCATTTCCAGCGTTGAGGCCCGAAAGTAGGAACCCAAGGGCCAGCTCATCCATCGCGAGACACCCACAACAACTCCGTGAACTGCAACAATAAACAACAGGGTTTCCATCGTGGTTGTGATCAAAACTGCTGAGATTTGCATCCAGCTCGAAAGTCTTGAACACTTGTGTAGAGATGTTGAATCGAGGCATCTCATATTCACACATCCTCATCTCAACTTGATACCACCCAGCCAGGAATAGCAGACACCAAATATTAGCATTTCCACCTTCCCGCAGAGCCTCAGCCACCCAGGCGTGGCCAAGTGGACAGTGGCAAAGAAATTATAACGCATTTTCATCACCATGTGGCTTCCATCTGACCTGTCACTATAAACCCAGCGATAGAAACAGCCAGGTGAGGAATATCGCTGAATAAGCCCATCAAGGAGGTGTCAACGGTTTAAAGCTGTGCAAATCCCGTATTACAAAGAATGAGTTAAGACCATGTTACCACGAGACTCGGACCCAGGTTGTAAGTCGAGTTAGTGATCAACCATCTTCCCGCTGGCGCCATGGCGGCTCGCTTGCAAGTGATCCATAACCAGGGCCATCATCGGCAATCCATGGGGAATAAACATCATGTTCCGCATTCAACGTGGAGAAAGCCAATCTCTCTTGGTTCAGAGTCTCAATGCCGATGGTGTCCCGATCACTGTGAGACCCGAAGCATCGTGTATTCTAACCCTAGGACCAATCTTGGTAGCACTCGACGATGCTCCCTGGGGTATTACAGAAGGGAACCGGAACTGATCCCTCTGTTGCATGTCATGTTGTAAATTTCTGCCTAAGCCAGCAGTTGGTTTTGGGTACCTCCAGTTCTGTAAATTCAACACTTCTCCCCTGTCCAACTTGATTATCACCACCCACCACAGAGTCAGGTATACCCCACCGACTTGTCCCTCTATGGCGCCACGTGCAGATGCCCAGCAATGCCGAGTTGGGCATTATTGCCTCCACTTCTAAGTTATCTGTCAAAGCCTCAGAGGACCGCTTTTGTCCGTCTTATGCTCTGCCTCTTCCATTCCAAATTTTCTGGCCAAAGGTCCACCAGCCGTTGCAAGTGAACTAGTCAGGTACATCCACGCACCGGACTCCACGGGAAGAACTTCCTGTCAAGCATATCGTGCGTGTCCTGACCGCGCCTGTACTCGCTGTGTTGAGTCACAGCATGGCAATGCAGCAAGTCTGCCTTGTCATTGGGCGAGACTCTTATGTGCTGTATGCGTTGCTCACCGGACGACCTCTGCCGATGACTTGTCAAGCAACTCGCGAGCCGCAGCAATCTCGTCTGCATTGTATCCTTGCCACAGGGGTTCTTGAGCCCCATATCGACGAACGATCTCCGCTAGCTTCGCTGTGGCTGCCTGGTTTAACTTTGTAAGAGTCTGCTGGTCTGGCAGAGAGAACTCGTCACTCTCTGACTGTTTCTTGAGTTTGGCATATTCAGCCAAAATCTTATCGGTGACCTTCTTCAGGCCATAATAGCCCCGGAGATAGTCTTCGCAAAGCTCAATGCTTCGGCAAAATCGCTTAACCGAGCTTGCTAGGTACTTCTGAGGAGATCCATCGCTTGTTTCGTTGGCTGCCATCAACGTCACCTCGCCTAGCCTTGCGTGCAACTATTCAGTAGTGTCAGATGGGGTCATTTCTCAGAACAGAAAAGCAACGTACGTTCCACGCATTTGGCGCTAGCACAAGAACCTCTTCCATAGCGTAGATAGCTTGGGAGTACAGGCCTTGAGAAAGGTAGAGGTCCGATAACTCAGACCAGGCTTCGGCATCTGTAGGGTTGAACTCGAGCAACGATACTAGCGCCGCAATTGCCTCCGTTGTCTTTCCCATGGATCGCAAAAGAGCCACTCGTCGCTTCGCAATGTACTAATGTTTGTCAGTACAACATCTTGACAGCCACAAGGCGTGGTCATGCTCACAATGTTTGTTCCATCCTGCTGCAGAAGATCCTCGTATTCCTTCAGCACTTCCTGGAGTTCGCTGTTGTTCGTCGCCTCCGCTTCCTTGATCAATCCCTTGAGTGCCATGACGCGTTCGTTCTCATCGCCAAAACGCAACAGTAACCTCTCCAAGCACAGATGCGCCGAATCGTCGTCGCCAGTTCGAAGGCATGTGATGATGAGGTTTTCATAGATCGTCCATAGCTCAGGGGTTTCGGCTGCCGAAAAGAGTGATACAAGAGGAGAAGCCGAGAAGGCCTTGGGGTTGCCCTTCAAGATGATGGGAGCTTGTTGCGCAAGGTGGAGAGCTTCAGCAGGTGATAGCTGGCCTTGTGGCCTGGTGAGAGAGGGGACCATGTTGTTGCAATGGTTTTGTGACGGTCGCTTCGGTGAAAGTACAAAGTTTCGGTAGATAAAAGGTCTTATTGTGACAGATTCGGCGGGGGAGGGAGGATGGCGTTTATCGTCTACCTCACAATGATACAGGTCGATTGAACACAGGAGGCTTGATGCTACGTGCACCATCGACCATAGCAGGCATATGATTGGCTACTTCAGAGAAGCTCATGTACCACGGGTTATCTAATAGTCCGCGACAAATTGCTAGACATCTCTAATTGGACAAAACAATGCCCCACACTGAAATATCAAAGACAAAATCCATCTCTCCACAGAAATTTTTCTTGAACCTCGAGCATCCTTCTTCCTCACTACCGCAGTGTCAACTACTTGCGCCTGCGAGTGCATGCTTCAAGGACATCACGAGTCCAAGATGGCGTCTTCAGCGCCAAGTGGCGAGGCCATCGCGAGCCCGACACTCGAGTCGATTCCTGTCCAGGACATGGCCGCGTTGGACGTCAAGGATCCGGTCACCGAGGCCGTCACCGAAGCTGCCGTGCCCGAGACTGAGGCTGCTGAGGTGCCGCCTCATCGGTCGCATGACCCTACCAACAACTTGAAGCGGAGTGATCCCTTCCAGTTCGGTAGCCGGTACTTGAACGAAGGAGATGATGTCTTCGAGTTCAATGCCTGGGACCACGTTGAGACTGACGATGCGTACAAGGAGTATGCTGAGGAGCAGTACGCGAAGCAGCGTCAACACCCTGTCTCGGACTTTGAAAAGAGTAAGTCAGCCACCCAAACCAAAACCTTACACGGCGTGCTTTTCCCTACTGGTGTCCTGATGATACACAACCAATGCATAGTTCATCTGAATCTACTGAAGACAAACTATACCTTCTTATTCTTTCGCTCCCATCTGATTTACACCATATCCTCACATTTCTTCTCGCAATCTCAAACATTGAAGAGTTGCTAACATGACAACTCAGGAAAGTTCAGTCAGGACCCTGCTAGATGGTGGAATTTGTTTTACAAGAACAATGCTGCCAACTTTTTCAAGAATCGCAAATGGCTCCAACAGGAATTCCCTGTCCTGGCCGAGGTAACCAAGGAAGACGCCGGTCCCAAGGTCATACTGGAGATCGGTGCTGGAGCCGGTAATACGGCCTTCCCTGTCTTGGCCGAGAATAAGAACCCACAACTGAAGATCCATGCCTGCGACTACTCAAAGACAGCCGTAGAGGTCATTCGCAAGAATGAAGCGTACAATCCTGAGTTTATCCAGGCTGACGTATGGGACGTCACCAGTGATGACTTGCCGCCTGGACTCGAGGAAGGCTCCGTAGATGTCGCCGTGTTGATTTTCATCTTCTCTGCTTTGTCGCCCGATCAATGGGCCAAGGCTGTTCACAACGTCCACCGAGTACTCAAGCCGGGAGGTCTGGTCTGCTTCCGAGACTATGGAAGAGGAGATCTGGCCCAGGTCCGGTTCCGCAAGGGTCGATACCTGGACGAAAACTTTTACATCCGAGGCGACGGCACACGTGTGTATTTCTTTGACAGGGATCAGCTCGCCAATATCTGGACTGGCAAGGTTGCCGGCGAGGATGTCAAGGCTACCCTAGAACCTGCCACTGCCGATTCGACGGCTGAGGCCGAGAATGGCACAGATGCTGCTCAAAACCCAGATACAGAGATCAAGACAGAGATACCCCTGTTCGAGGTGGAGAAGCTTGGTGTTGATCGACGATTGCTCGTCAACAGAGCCTCCAAGCTTAAGATGTATAGATGCTGGCTACAAGGTCGCTTTAGAAAGAAATAGACTATAACATCTCAAGATGAACACATGAATCTGTCCTTGTATGTGTGATGCGATGAGGCTCCCTTAGCACCGGCGCCGGTAGTCTAATAGAGCAAAAGATCACGTATCTTTGCTCTGTCATCTGCACCAAAACCTATGCCATCTAGGTAGGCATTCAGTCCACCATATTTGTCGTCGAGGTGTTTTTGAATACCAACAATCATATCATCCGCACAGTGAAGCCACTCGTCTGTCAATCCGATTTCACGAATCTCAATGAAACGCTGTTCACGTTCAGAAATGAGGGCCTCATCACTGAGAGCATAGTCATACTCAATGGCCGAGATAGGAACATCAAGAATCATAAGCACAAGCGCGCAAATGAGACCTGTTCAGAAGTCAGTTTTATCACTTTTGAAGCGTGGGATTTTATTACCTGTACGGTCCTTGCCTTGAGTACAGTGAACGAGTGAAGGAAGAGCAGCCTGGTCGGTATAAAGTGATAGAGCCTCACGAATCTCCCGAGTGGATTGATCGAGCGTATCGAGACCCAAACCTACAAGTCCGCGAGGGATCATGACTTGCTGCCCAAGGATATTGATCGCTTTAGTGCGGTAGCCACAAACAAACAGAAACACCACACGGCTAAAGAAGTCAGTCGCTAGTTTCGACACGGAGGTGTATAGTGCTCACAAGAAGTCCCACCATGAGAGCTGACTTAGGAGGAACAGTTCGAAGGCACGCCCTGTGACTTTGACTTGTCGATAGTCCAGTCCAGATATTTGGAGTGGTTCAGCAAGAGCTTCATTGGATTTCACGAGAGCATGTGTACTGGACTGTTCCTTTCGTCTTTTTGCTTGGTTGAGGTGCTCGGTTCTTGGTGGTTGTCAGTATGTTGTTCTTCTCTGAGAAACATTTCGGTCTCACTTGGTTCTCAGATCTATGATCGTCTTGACACCAATGTCATATCTAATGGCCTGTCTATCTGAGAGAGTGGCATCATCTAGAGTTGTCTCAGCAATTGTCAGGTCTCATCTGTGTGATGTCCCGTACCTGGCCTGGCGGCACGATAGAACAAACCTTCGCGAATTCGCCTAATTAGAATCAGCCAACTATATCTCGTGGTACGACAAGTAGCGATACCTTGTGCCCAAAAAGTCATTGACCGTTTTGCCCACATCACGGAAGTTGAGAACGTTCTCAAGGCCAACAGAGGAAGTCATAATGGTTTGCCAAGAAACCTGTTGCGTTGGAATAGAGTTAGCAAGTCTAGTTCAGGGTCCTCAAGCCACCGACAGGATTGTAGCTGGGCTGTGTACAACGGTAGTTGCAGCGCATTGACGATGAACTAGCGAGCGGAATGTGAAGCAACCCGGAGCAATATCAAGTTGGTGTGCAACACAGACTCAAAACCAGGGTTTGTCGTATTACGAGAAATCGATCAATCGAGCCAAATGCGCCTCAAGAGATCGGAGGGTTCAAAGCGGACGCTAGAAGAGGGCTAAAACACACCAAAAAGGCGACGAGCAGCGTCGATCTCAATTTCGATACCGAAAACGCCGAGTGATCATTCCGAAGCCAAGACAAGACAAGATGCACCGTTGATTCTCAGGTGAAGATACAGATTCCGTCCAAGGTTTCAGGTACAGACTCTGTTTCTCTTGTAGTAGTTTGCTTAAGGGAAAGATCTGTCTGTTGGCTGTCCGTCACTCGACCTTTTGGTTTTGTGAGGAGTCGTTCGCAGCTCAATCTTGGCTTGATAGGCTGAGCAAAAGAGCCATCTAAGTCCAATTGGGAGATATCTTCAATGGATGACGGGAAGCTAAAAAATTGCTAAGCTGATAGAGATACAGTGCGAATTGATAGCGGTGTGGTGTGTTGTGGCAGTGTTACAGTCGCTTCATAGGTAGTGGCGAGACAGCACGAAGCTGAGAAAGCTGAAGATGAACCATTCGCTACGTGGTAATGGTTACGAGACAAGCCAGGGAATGCCTAGAGAGAACTGTGTTGGGTGAACATCCACTGTATTCAGCTCCCAAGTGGACGGAGTTCCCATACCGAAGAACCAACAATCAAAGCTGAACATCATAAGAAAACCCGGATACTGTGCTCCTTCCGACTGACACTAGCCACTAGCGTCTGCACCTGAGATCATCGCCAAGGACCAAGTGACGTCACAACTAGCACTATCTGGGGTAGCGCATCGCAGGTCCGGGAAGGGAAAGAGCTACGGCAACGACCCTGACGTATGCATCCCATCCCATCATGTGAAGGAAAGAGGTAAGGAAGGCAAGCATCGCACCGTCCGTCCGTCTTGTCTCGGGGCCAACGAAAGAACGACGCCATTTGAGTGAGGGCGCCACGAAGACGACGGGAGGGTCTCCTTTGATAGCATCATCATCATCATCATCGCCTAAGTGAATAAATCTTGCTTTTACCCATATTTTACTCTATTCTTTCCCTTCTGTTTTGTTTCCTCACGATTGAGAGACAACACCAAATACATACGTACTCGACTAATACCTACCTACGCGAATCCTACCTCTATACAGTGTCGTCACTCAGCATTTTATCTCACTTGTTTCGATATTCCCTGCAAAGAGACAGCCCATTCGTCTCCACCATTGAAGCAATTCCACCTCCAAGGCGAGCACCCAGCATATCCATGTTCGACATAGAAACCGTCAATTAATATCAACTACACACAACATTACAACCGCCAAGAGCCTTGGAAACCCATAAAAACATTGTAACGAGGCCCTTGGCCCTGTCGAGAGCTTATCACCACGCCGGGTCCATCGCGACCAATCTACTCCCTAGCATCGTACTCCAGTGAAGTCTCACCCTCTCGATCTCGAGGCTCCAATACGAAGGGCTGAGCCAGCACCCTCTGACGTCCCTCTACCGATGCCCACCAGCACATCCCAGCAGCCAACCATGATCCAGTCACAGCCGGCAGCGGCCACAGGTATGTACCGGCATCCCAGCGATATTCGTCATCCACCCACGCATGGCCCAGGTCTTTTCTGACATATATGTACATAGTGGCCAATAATTCAGGTCGGCTCAAATACGCAGATCCTAGAGATCTTCCTAGCTATCCATCTGCTGGTCTTCGTCCTGACGGTGCTGCTGCAAGTGCTGCTGCTTCTCTCGGATGGTCTAATCAAAAGCCCATCGAACTTTGGAAACCCGATAAAACCTCATCCGCATCCGCTGCTGCCGCTTTAGCCAAAGATTACAAGATGGCTCCAGCATGGGAGCCAACATCCAACTCTGCTGGACACAAAGCCGCACTTCTAGCTGTTGGCTCTGCTAATGCTGCCTTGAACCAATCCCCAAGCCAGGGCAAGTCACACGAAGGATGGGGAAATTCTGCTGCCACTCAAGCATTCAACACGAATAGAGCCAATTCAATGCGACAGCCTGACCCAAGAGCATCTGATACTTCGCTGCAGGGACAAAAGTCTCTGGCCGCAGCCAAAGGCGCTATGTCAACAACTAGACGACGAGCTAAATCGACGCCATCGGCACCAGACTCTCGTGCTCCATCATCCCCCAAGACAAACACTCGACCCGATGCGCTCAGCGGAGCTGCACTTGCTCACAAAGCAAGCCTCAGGGCCAAGCCGGCAACAGAAAACGCCGGTGCAGTGCCAGTGACCACCATGACTCGCAACATGTTCACGTCCAATCCGCCAGTCAAACCGGAGGTAGATGAACGACAAAATAATGAGCAACTCCACGCTTCAGCGGTTGCGATGGCCCGAAAGATGTATTCACATCAACAAAAGATTATCGACGAAGCCAAGGAAACCCATGGACAAGGCTCCGATGCGCCACAGCCAAAACCATATGTTAATCTCCAGGACGCTGCATACAAGCAAGCACAAGAACGACTGGCAAAGCTTGAGCAAGAGCATCAGAAGAATAGAGACTACCAATCTTACTATGGAAACGAATCGTCGCCTAAACGGCGGTTCACATTGACATCCAAGCTGCGTCGTCGCTCTTCTAGTGACGGTGATCTTGACGATAGACAACAATCCGAAAGAATACGACAGCAAATGTCACTCTTCTCCAACAAGCTTTCAGAGGTTGATCAGAAGAAGCGACAGGATGATCGCAACGCGCTTCTTGCTGCAGCACAACGTAATGTCAAGGCTCGACTGCAAGGTATGGATGAGAAGGTTTATCATGAAACTGGCCAGGTCAACCCAACTCTTATGAGTGAGTGGGAGCTCAAGGCTCATCAGTTGGCCACTGCTAGCCATGAGACCCGGAACGCAAACAAAGGCAAAATCGATATCGGCGGTGGCAGATTCATGGATCCTCACGATATAGACGCCATCGCAGCCAAGAGAATGCAGCCCCTTTTGGATGACATTAACGAAAAGGCCGAAGTTGAGCGCGAGCGACTTGCTACACTCAAGATGGAAGAGGAAGCGAAGAAGGCTGAGCAGGAGAAGCAAAAAGCACGCGACCGTGAAATCAAAGAGATCACAAAGAAACTCAAGGGTATGTCTATACAGTAACCATTCATTTGCGCTGTGCCGGACTAACACATTTCATAGACCAAGAGAAGCAAGAATACAAGGCCAAGAAGGCGGAGGAGAAGGCGGCACGAGCTGAAGAGCGACGCCAGGCCAAGGAAGAGAAGCAACGAACCAGGGGTAACACAGCTGTCTCGGGCGAAGAAGCCATTGATGATGGTGCGAGCACAAGAAGCGAAGAGGCTGTATCACCCCCTATTGTTGCGGCAAATGAATCTAGTGAGCCTAGTGCCCCAGCTGCGATCGATACAGAAGCTGGCACAACGGAAAGGGGCCGCAGAAAGCTCAGCGATGCTGCATCACCAACTTCCAAGGTCAAGGGATGGATCAAGAATCGGTTTTCACGAGGTAAATCTCTCGGAGAGAAAGATCGTGAAAGCCACGGTGACAAGAGAAGCAGCTTCATCGGCGGAGCCGCTCTCCGGGATACAGATGCAAACGCAAGCTCAACAAGTCTAGACAACCGGGCTACGAGCATGCGGGATGTTGCTCTTGCCGGTCGCAGCGCAAACGCTGAGTCAAGCGACCACGACCGGGATGTACTACATGATTCGCGCGGCATCAGCCCCGTGAGCAGTCTAAGTGAAGACGAGGCAGTTCCAGCTATTACTCCTCCACCAGCAATCAAAGACCCTGCTAAAAGGAAGAGCCAAAGTCCTTCACGGGATTCGAGATTCAGAGAAATGATGGATAATTAGCCAGTATTGTTGCAGGACAGGAGTTTATAAAGTTCCATGGAGGGAGGTAAAATGATGGGATTCGTTTGGATTGTGCTTATGCCTGGCGCAAGAATTGATTGTTGTGTAAGGTAACTGTAAAGCGTCATTGGTTTTCAACAGCTGGATTATGGCAATTGGGGTAGTTGAAAGGGTTGTCTCACTAGTGGTATGAACTTAATTAATGCCCTTTGTTTGAGGTATGACGCAGTACTTACATGTACGGAACTCTCGGATGAAAATGACGATCATGACATGGTCCCAGATAAAATCATGAGATAAAGCAGGATAGTAGTTGGCGATATACAGTTATGTACCACGCAAAGCACGGAGGATGACGATTGATGCTTGATAAATTCTGAATTATTACGTTTAACATTTAATTTATTTCTAATCAATATACATGAGGCGGTTCCCCTTCAAGTTCATCTATCAGATAGTTCACGTACAAAAAAACGTGATATAAGCCATGTAATACAGTCCCTTAAACGAGACAATTCTCGCTCAATCCAAACGCCACGCAAAGAAAGAAAGGGGGAATCATTCCGGCATTATTCCATACAACATAAAGTTTCGCGTATGTAGAGTATTACAAACGTTGAGCCTAGTTTGTTGTGCTGTGATGACTCGAGCATATGATTTTTGTGGCCTGTCTAGAAGTCTCTAGGAGGCACACGGTTACCATTCTGCGCCATCTCGACATCGTGGTGACCGTTTGCGGGTGCATCCAAGTTACTGCGCGACCCGTTACTTGGGCTCCTCGAATCAGAGAGGGCAGAGGGCATGTAGGTGGACTTTTGATACCTTGCGTCAGGGCTCTTTGTGCGAACGGCAGGATAGAGGTCGATGACGAAGGAGATGGCATAGAATGTGAAGATGAAGGAGATGGCCCATTCGAGGACCGCGGCGGCATTTCGCTTCTTGACGCGACTGCACACACCAAAGGCGATGATGAGGGCGAGCTCTACGAGGATGAAGGTGAGCTTCACCCAGAAAGACATGCGAAGGACACGATGCTCGCGGTAGTCTAGAGGCTTGTTAGTGGGTGTTGATGTAGGTATCAGCTGAAGATGTAGAGACTCACTGATTCCAAGGCGTTGGTACTCCCAGCAGATACAAACAGCCGAGAACAAATAGCCTCCAATAAAGAGCGCCAGAAACGTGTTGTGCAGTCTGCTATACTTGCCAGTCTTGAAGATAGAAAGACAGATAAGTCCCACGGTTCCAACGGTCGCAAAGGCTATGGAGAGGCCGCTGAGGACCTTCTCCATGAGGGTCGTGTTGGGCACGAGGCGGCCTCGATGTCGCAGCCATCGCTCAGACAAGAACGCAGCATCGAGAAAGATGGAGGTCAAGACGCAGCCGACGATGAAGAGAGGCTGGAGACGGCCTGCGCCGACGTTGGAGATGTAGGCGATGTCGGAGTGAATCGATTGAGTGGGATATCGACGACCGTGTTGATTGACTTGCCATTCGAGGAGAAGACCGAGAAGCATTCCGAGCCAGACAAGGCCTGAAATAACTGGGAACCACTGATCATGTTGGTTAGTATATGCCCTCTCAAAAGGCTCAAGTAAACATACCCAGTATGAAAATATGCCTTTCACAGCCATTGTGTGATTTTTATGTAGTGGCTCTATAATGTGATGTGATTGTGATGATGTTACAGTAATAAACTTGGTGTTTCGCAAAACTGGTGATACGGGAGGGCAACTCTTAAGAGTCAACCTAAATAAGGCAGTGGCACCAGCACCTGACTTAGGTAAAGCTTGGCAGGGACAAAGTAAATGAAATAAATAGAACAAATACGAAAAGAGAGGGAAATGGACAAGAAACAAGGGGCAGGGTATTAATTATATTCCCGATGCTTGGGGTTTGGCCTTGGGAATTATAATATGGGTCTGCGTTACGTATTGCAACTCCAGGGTTTTTTTTTCGATCTTGATAATTCCAAGCTTTTTTGATAAATCTCCCTCCTTCTCGGCCGGGAACTTAGGTAGCTTAGATCACCGCTAAATACTCCACGGCCGAAGATCTTTCGGGTCCTCGGACGTGTCCGCGGTCCCTAAAGTCCGGGATATTTTTTGGCATCGTTAATGGCGGTGCTCATCACTCCATCAGTCATCAGTCATCAGCCTTGCTACAGCGGAAAAGAGCCAAGAATGGCTGTGACTTCCAGGTTGGCATTTACGCGGCGTTTACAGGGGGGTTACGCGGCAGCCAACCCATGTTTACAGTGCTTGTAGTGGCGTAGAAGGGAAAAAAGAAGACGAATCAACTAAACTAATGCCGAATGGGGGTAATCGGGTATTCTTCAGCTGTTACAGAGAGAATCATAGAATAATGACTGGAGTTTATAATCGAATGACATCATCCCCTTTGTTTACATTGATTACATCACAGTCTTACCTTTTAGTCTGTCACTGCCCAAAACAAGCCTCAGCCAACGACGTCGTTCAGTGGAGACACTAAAGATTCCAGGGGGGGGCCTCACTGTAAGTAAGATCCTTGCATGAATCATGAGCTGAAGCAGGGCCCTTACATTGTAACCTTGGACCTTACTCGAGCATATCCAATCACTCTCAACGAACAACATTCACCTCAACTCGAGCACTCAAGTTGAGCATATGCTCAAAATTCAGTTTTATTGTTAATCAACTCTACTCTTCATTCTTCTACTCAACACCTGCAGCATTGATATGGTCATCCACAGTGGTCCCAGCACCATGTCAATAATTACAACAGTATCCGTATCCCCGGCGGCGTTCCAGCTTGTATGTCTCTCATAGTTACTACACTCAATGTTAGTGATGCTTCTTGTCACAAGTCTAGGACCTCGAATCGTTGGCACGAACCTCATCATGATGATCATGGGGATCCTGGTGGTGATGGTCATACTCATGCTCATGCCCAGGATCCTTATCCTCGTGCTTGTGCCCGTGCTTATGTCCGTGTTTGTGTCCATGTTGGTGGAGGTGGCCATGTCCGTGGCCGTGCTTGTGCCCATGCTTGTGTCCGTGGTGATGGTTGTGGTAGTGCTTGTGCACCTTCTTGTGCTTCTTCTCTCCATCACCCTCAGAGTCCTCCTTGGCGGCACTCTTGTCCAGCGCGACCCTATCCTCGAAGTCCTCGCCTGTGATCAGGGGAGTGTAGGGGAACTTGGCAAAGGCCGCCTGGATGCTGCCCTTGGTGGTGCCATCGTTGGCTCCCTGCTTGGACATGATGATCTTGAGGCTCTTCTTGCACTCAATACGGCGACCGACCTCATAAACCACGGCCTATTCAAAGTCAGCATGTATGTCTTGGTTTCTCTCATCTCAAGAATAACTCACATAGTTGGAAACACGCAGACTGTTGATGGCAGTCAGGATGGGTCGTTCAACCTCTCCATCAAGATCCTTGGTCTGGTGCCGCAGGAGCTTCACGAGGCGGATCAGAGCATCTGCATACTAGAACGGTGTCAGCACAGCAAACCCTGAAGAGTCTTTTCGTAGAGCTTACGTGAAGGAAGCAGCCAACGACAGGAGAGTCGTTTCCACAGGTCAAGCACTTCTTGAGAGTGGTGCTGTCCACGTACTTGTCAAAGGCATCTAGCCCATACTCAAGACTGTAGATCCTGTAAACAATTTTCTTTCATCTCGTGTCAGTAATTTCATAGTGACGGGTCCAAAAGAGCAACTCACATGCCAACACTCCGCCTCATTGCCACAGTCATAGGTCTGCACAGCATGAATGAGCTCCTCAACGTCCTTGGTGGCATAGTGGAAGAGCTTGCAAGTCTTCTCCTCAGTGAGGATAGGGCAAGGCCTTTCGGGGTGCTTGTGCTTGGTGACGTGGACATGCTCATGGGGATGAAGATGCTTGTGCTTATGATCGTGGTGCTTGTGATGGTGCTTCACCAGGTTGGGGTCATGGTGATGGTGATCCTTATGCTCGTACTCCTTGATCTCGAAGGCGCCGTTTGGGAGAGCAAGACCAACAACGGCTGGTGTTGCGCAGAACGCGATGAAAGGTAGAGAAAGCTTCATGTTTGAAGTCTGCAACAAATTACAAAGAGTGGAAGTAGTGTTCAGGGGATGTAACGAAAGTAGAGAACGACGCCGAGAAAGACAGAACTGATCAAGAATCAGGCAGACTTAAATAACCAAAATAGCTCGTGTTTACTGTCTCATGTCAGGGACCCTTTTGAGTTCAGATACTCATCGACTGATGATTCCCAAGCCACGAGAGTAAACTCTTCAGCCATCAGATGGGCAGCCATACTGGTAACAAGTAGCCAGTCAACTCTATGGCACACGCAAGCAATTGCAAGATATCCCATACCTTCAGCTCAAAATTTCCACTGCCCTACGATTCTCAAAGCCTCATACTCATCACTTTCGGGTATTCTGAAGGTTGCTTGGGAGATCTGGTGCTCGAAAGATGCCCGTCACGAGGCGCCCGTATAATCGTAATCGCGGACAGTCAAAGAGAGGCCAAAACCGCCGAAGCACGACACCGTTACTATAGCATCATCACACCCCTTTCACTTGAAGGCATCAAAGTTTCCTCGTTTCTACGGGCGACGAGCATCTTTGCTACAGCAGAAGGCACTGAATACGACCATTATGCTTTCAAAAGGCCACAAGGTAAGAATAATACCGCCGGTTGCTGTGTGTCTCAAGCAAAGCCAATCTGGGTGGCTAAAAGCCTGATAACTCGCGTATCTTTCGTGTCAAAAACACAATAGTTGATAAACGGTAAGGTACCTAAGGAGAAGAAAGTGATGTTCTTGGATGGTCTAAGTCGAAAGATGGAGTATGTACGGAGTACTCTGTAGGTACGTGCCTCAGATCTCGGTACACCTCAAGTGTGGAGCTTATCGGCGTGATAAACTCCGATGCTCCGATCTCGAATTAACGATAACGATAAGCTCTTAACAAGCTTCCAACATCTCCACGGGCTACTCAGCTTAATTCAACTTCACCAAACTTCGGCGCTCAAGTCAGACCAACTGGTCATATCACCATTCAGTCACTCATTGATATTTCTCTAGCCTCTACAGGTCTCGTGCACAAAACGGGGCCTCCCAACGCAATACAGCTGGTCTTTCCAGCTCCTCAAATCACTATCAACAATCCTCTTTGTTAACCATCAATATCAACCATGGCGCTCTCCCCAGTCGTAACGCACACCGTTGAAGCCACGCAACCGCAAAGTTTCGGGCGCGCAATCTCTTCGCCTCTAAAGAACGTCACTTCGCAAACATCTTCCTCAAATGGAACGCCAATGCCTCCTGTCACTTCAGCGCCTGCGCCGACCAGTATTCCCACGACTCTCGATCTCGCAGAGCAGATGAACGATGAGGAGAAGCGCAAATACGTCAAGGGTATGGTACAGCGGTGAACACCTCAAGCGTTGCTCTCTAACAATGCCTAGGCAAGAAGCTCGGTGAGGGTACATACGCCGTTGTCTTTCTAGGTCACTTGCGCTCCAAGCCCACCACTCTCGTCGCCATCAAGAAGATCAAGGTCCAGAAGGAATACGATGAGGGCATGGCCCCCGACGCCGTCCGCGAATTGAAGCACCTCCAGGAGCTCTCCCACCCAAACATCATCTCTCTCCTTTCCGTATTCTCGTCAAAAGACCAGAACCTTAACCTCGTCCTCGAGTACCTACCCCGCGGCGATCTAGAAATGCTTATTCGCGATACCGAATCCGTGCGATACGGTGCCGCTGATATCAAGACATGGATGGGCATGCTCACCCGTGCCGTCTGGTTCTGCCACGAAAACTTTGTTCTCCATCGTGATATCAAGCCAAACAACTTGTTGATCGCTGAGGATGGCGAAGTCAAGCTTGCTGATTTTGGTCTTGCGCGAAGCTTCGCTGATCCCCATCAACTCATGTCCTCGCGCGTCATCACCCGCTGGTACCGACCTCCTGAGCTGCTCTTCGACGCGAAGCACTACAGCGGTGCTGTCGATGTCTGGTCTGTTGGCACTGTGTTCGCTGAACTCATTATGCGTGCGCCCTATCTTCCCGGTAACACAGACCTTGACCAAGTTCGACTTGTCTGCGAACTTGTCGGTACGCCCACCGATGATAACTGGCCTGGTGTCACGAAACTTCCAGGCTATGCTGTTCCTGGACAACACCCGGTCCGTGGTAAGGACTGGTATGAGATGCGCTTCGGTACTGTTGGTTCTGACGGCGTGGACCTGCTCATGAAGACGCTTATTCTCGACCCCAAGAAGCGCATCACTGCCCGTGGTATGCTTGAGCATCCTTGGTGGCATTCTGAGCCTAAGCCTACTCGCAAGCAAGATCTGCCTCGAAAGGGTGGCGCCGGGGCTGATGACAAAATGGGCGCTGATCTAAAGCGAAGGCCAGGCGTAATTGACGATGACAGGGGTTCCAAAGTTGCACGCAAGCTTGATTTCGGCGGCATGAAATAGACATGGAGAGACGGGGGGTAGAGAGAAGACTTTTAATGAACACATGACATGTAATTCGGGTGAGCATTCTCGGGCGTTTGGGTATATACAGAATAAGGAGAGGAACGGGACAAGTTGTAAAGGACATAGCTTGCTCAAAAATGGGACCTTTTATTAGATACTCAGATCTCTTCATCATCATAAATTTGAAAACCATCCATATATGTCTCCCAGCCAAACGCTCGCTCTCAGCGTATCTTCGTGATATTGACATTTCGATTTCGTAGGTATATCCAATCAGCCAAGTTCTATTCTATTTACTCACATGAGCACACACTCAAGCCCATACATTGCTCTCTCGACACTTTTTCTGACTTGATACCAGTCCGCCCTTCTCTGCGCATACTCGTAGACTTCTTCGGCACGGAAAATGCCACCAAATCGATCGCCATCTGCGATGACTGTGGCCATCTCACGCGCATGTCGGGGGTCAATCAGGAAGATCTGGCTTAGCTCACGAAGAGCAGCAAAGTATGCGAGCAGATCAGGGTTGCGCAACGTCCGAATGTACTCATAATATATGTTCATATCAGCAATGAGAGTAATCGCGCCCTCGGTGCTGATTCGTTGTCGCTTGAGATGTTTGCAGATCGCTGTGAAAAGACGAAGACCAACCTCGCCGTTGAATACGTCAAGCATCGACTTATCTGTTGTACCGACAAGCATTTTTGTGTGTGATGAGACAAGCTCTACAATGCGCTTTGCTGTGGCTGTGGGACCAATATCAGGCTCTGCAGCAGGCACAGCAGGCTTCTCGACGGTGCTAGAGCTGCCGCCAAATCCAGATCCAAAGGCAGAGGACGATGTAGCCGCTGAGGGATCAATTGGGTTGTAATCTGTGGGTGGTTGAGTTGTGCCCTGAAGATACTCAACCTCGTCCATCAGGACATCGATACCCTTGTTTAGGCCGGCCGCAACACTCTCGTCGAGCATTTGCTCAAACTTCTTCTTGGCCAGACCTGCTGGATCCAAGAAATCGTTGCGGTCAGCAATTTTCGGAGTGGCAAGTTGCTGCTCATAGAAAACGTCAATCATCTGTGAGATAAGGTCACCGACGTTGACAAGTTCGATGAAAGTGACAAGTGGTGCCACGCCCGCTTTGTTATGATCATTAACCTCTCGCGGGTTATAGTGCGACAGATGGTCGACAGCCATATTAAAGCCCGTCTTGATATGTTTCTGTCCCAAGATACGCAACAACACTATGAATATGGTCGCACACTGCTCTCGAGCCTCTCCGCCAGCTTGTCCACCCAGACTAATAAAGACTGAAGCACGTCCCAGGCTGGTTTTGGCAGCGTGCACCAGGTTGAGTGCCACCTCAATGCTGAAAAGCGACTTGATACCTTCAAGCTTCGACGCCATGATTGCAGCCTTGGCCGCCAGCTCATCCGTTGGTGCTTGGGCAGGCAATGGTGTCCTCTGGCCATCAAGTGCCAGACTGGGTGTCTCAGGTCGTGAGGGCAGCGGTGTAAGTGTCCCTGAGCCATTCAGCTCCTTTGATACTGTTGATGTAGGCCTCGATGATGCGGGTTTGTTAGTTGCGAAAGGAGATCCCATCGGAAAGCTCGGTAGCACAGTGACAGGCATCATAACGACCTTCTTGAAGGAGCTCAAAAAGTCCTTCTTGTCAGCTGAGCGGTTGATGTTTGACATGTAGAACGACTCCAAGGACGAGTCTTGCTCAGAAAGCTTCTTCTCCCAGCTTGCCACTTCTGTATCAGCATGATTTGTGAAGAAGTCTAGCTCAGCTTGGAGGTATAAGTCGAGATGCGGCTCGAAAACGCGCAGTGAAAGCTCCTTTGCCATCTCTTTGACATCTCGCTTAGACCCTTCAGGGGGTGTAAGAGACTGAAAGAAAAGCATCGTCTGCTCAAAAACACCAGACACGGCTTTCAAATAAGCTTCCATGCTACGTTCATGCGCCTCGTCGAACAGTGGTGTTGAATACTCCATGATAATATCCTCCCTGACCTTTTCCACAAATATCCAGAATACATGTTCAGGATTAGGAAAGATGCGTTGCATCACTGAGGCCTGCTCATTGACTTTGGCCAGCAGCTTTTCGAAGAAAAGCCGTGAAGGTTCGAGTATGATGCTTTCGTCCTGTGTCGCTTGGTTGAGACAGTCCATCGCGTTCACCACCAATAACTCATCATCGTTGAAAATGGGGTGCTTATGCACGAAGAGATCTATCCCTCCAGTGGCGCCATCAAGTGTGTGCAGGACATGTGCGTAGCGATGCATTCGTCCGTCAACATCCCAGAATTCGTATCCTTGCTCAAACTCCCGTAGAACAGCACTCTCGAAGATCCCCATCATTGATGAGAGCTTCTCCTCCCGTTCCTGGCATCCAGTTGACCAATCACTATGAGCGAATCTCTTAAGATTTGCGAGCATTTGCGCTTGTTTCTCCGGGTCGCGAAACGCTTGGAAGACGATAGGGTCCGCATGAGACCTTGCCTTCACCAGATCAAAGTAGAAGGGAGCCAAGGCGCCGTATATCTTGCCGTACTCGTGCCTCGCACCGCCCCGAATGCTCCTTGCTTTTT